GCAAGGGCTTTGCAGTTGCAGCGCTGGCGGTGCTGCAAGGCAAGGTGTCCGACCCAAAAGGCCCAAAAGGCGTGAGCGCAGCCAGCAGTACTGCATTTGCTGACCACAGCACGTTATCGAAAGCTGAAGCTTGCCACAAAGTTGCAAGCGCAGCCAAGCTGGCTGGTGCGAACGACTGCATGTTCTTCTCAAGTCAAGACTGGTTCCCAGCGAACTTCTCCTGCAAGCCTGAACATATCCCGTTCCAAGCAACCTTTTGCGAGCAGTCTTCATGCGCAGCCAGCCATTGAAGACTGCATCTGCAGTTGAACACCAACGCGTGCCAGCAAGAGTAGGGCAGTTGCGGCGCTGCCGGGGCTGCAAGGCAAGGTGTCCAACCCAAAAGGTGCAAGCGCAACCAGCAGTCCGAAGCTGAAGCGTGCCACGACGCTCTGGGCACACAGAAGGGGTCCAGCTGCTCCTTGCTTTGCTCAAGCCAAGGCAACATGCCGCTCCTTGTGACGCCAAACACTCGTCCCGCAAGCCAGGCCCAGCCACCCAATCTGACGCGAGGCCAAGACTGAGTCACGCAGTTGAACCCCAACGCGAGCTCGCAAAGGAAAGTTGCAGCACTGGTGCAAGGCAAGCTTCATCTGTCGAGAGTTCAAGACACTATGTGTGGATGAACCCAATGTCCAACACCTACAAGGTATTTCGAAGATGAAGGTCGTGCAAGTGAAGCATGCTGTTCGATTTCCGAAGGAGCTGGCTGAAGGTGGTCTCCTTGAGGTCGCAGGATGCTGCTACAGGAAACCTCAGGAATTCGGCTGCCTTGGGAACTTGCTATCCTGTGATGAGAATCTCTCTTTCGTCCGACTTGAGAGCGCCGAGCGCCAAACAATTTGGCTGCCTCATCCAACCAGGTCAATGTCTCGCACATTCGCGTACTTGCAGCCCAGGCGCCGGGCAAGCATGTCTTGAACGATTAGAACTAGGTGTACTCTTGGATCAGTGACCTCGATTGGTACACTTCCAGCATGTTGGGACCTACACCTTTCCGAGGGCCTTGGGGCATCGGCTTGAGCCAAACTGATGTCGGTGGCGAAATTGAAGTGCATGGCCCTCTGTGCTGGCTTGTGGTTCACCCCAGACCCGCAGTGGTCCCTGACGAACCCATGAGCAAATGGCCGCTGCAAACACTTCTGCTTAAGTAACCGAAGCTGGGGCAAGGGTTGTTATCCTGGGAGGCGCAGCATCATCCCGGACGCTGTGGAACACCCAGCAAGAATCAAGTTGCATCACTGGAACCAGGAAGCTCCATCGCTGGTGGAGGGAACCTCCCCCATTAATACGTAGGACGGGTTTATCAATCCAGGGTCAGCAGTAGTTGGTTTCCCTTCCCTCCAAAAGTGCCAACAGTTGGCCCATAGGATATAGTGTTTCCCAAAAGGGGCCCTTTTTGTTGGTTATGATTGAGCTGACAGGAAAGCTCGCAAAAGTGCCTTGTTGGCTCAAAGAGTTGTTTCTCAAACGGGGCTTGTAATTGGTGTCCAGTTGGTGTTCATTTCAAATTGTGGTGACTGTTGGCAGGGTCCAAACCCTAGTGCCATCAGTCTATTTGTCCTTAGCGTTCCTGCAACTTCTTAGGGAAGTGGATCTCAAACGTTTCGCCATTATTGCAGGCAACCAGGCCGGGCTTCTTACCTCTAGGTTTCGCCACGGATAACTTTCCTCTAAGTACTACAACAGTCCAACGGTGACTGGAAGCACTTGACTGGTGGACGAAACAGTGGCGTGTTTCCTCCAAGATGATGCTTATACAAAATGGGTCAGGTCAACTTCAACGATTACAGCGCACCCTTTAGTTTAATTCTGCACTAAGGGGCCACAATGCAAAGGTACCAACTCCCGGGCCGAAGCCTAAGACGAGCTACTGCGAGCAAAGGCTGGACTTCCCTTCAGGTACAAAGACCCGGCAGCAGTTCAGGCCTTGCTTGGTATGAGGATTGTCAACCTGTAACCCTTTGGGGCGAGCTTCGGGGTCTGTGGAGTCCCTGACAGTGACATGATCATTGCTGATGGTTGCGTTCAAAGGGGGGCCCCTTCAGCAAAGTGCACCTAGGTAATTGCTGGGCAACCTTGTGATCTGATACTGCAAACCCCCTTGCCGCGATGTCACCAGCATGTACGCTGAACAAAACCTGGGCCGACATGAAACAGAAACCGGGTTTAAACCAAGGGGCAAAGCGCTATCTGGTGGCCGACTTTCCGACGCCGGACACTTTGGACGTGCCTTTACTCCCCACCCAAAAGTCTTAAGGCCTGGTTTGGCCCAATCTTTGTTGGGCACCCCAATGGCGAGCAAACTCCGTTTCCTAGTGGCAATTGCAAGAGTGTACCCGATGCCATTCCCTTGAATACAGTAGCTGGTCTCTCCCATAGAAGGGCAATAACCCATTGTAAAGGGAATTTTGAGGGTCCACGTAGCCGTGAAAATGCTCATGTGGCCTTAAAATAAATACCCAAAGATTCTCAGGCTAAATATGCAGGATGCAGGGTTCCGAAGCCACACCATACCTGATGGTTTCAAAAGAACCACCTATGTTGGATGGGCAAAAAAATGTCCAAACTTTCTGAGTGCCACGGAAATAGTCTTCCCAAAAAGTATAAAGTCCAGGAACTCGGGACGTGAACCTATTTGGAAGGCCAAACTTCCATGAGGACCCTTGCTTGGATGACTCCCACAAAGAGTCGTCCAAGCGGGATTTAAATGTTGTGTTTCACCCACTTGGGGGACTCATTTGCCAGGGATCTACAAATTCAGAAGGTTAAAGGTGATGCATCTGTGAGCGGTCAGTCAGTCACACCCTGCGTTCATAGTTGAAACACCTGAAATGAGTCCCAGGTAAGATAAGCCCCAGGTATAAAACACCATAGTTGTAAGCCCCGCTATAAAACACCATAGTTATAAGCCCCAGGCAAAGCTCAGAACCATCGTCAGCCCGTTTCCCAAAGTCCGCGAGAGGGATATTCATCACGGACCGGTCCAAGGCCATCGCTTGTAGCTTCCCGAGATCGCACGAAAGTCGGACCCCGCCTTTCTAGCGGGACCTAGGACAACGGGGGAGTCCAAGGCCCACGAATTTCAAACAAGCAAGCAAGCAATCGGGGGGGATTCCGCAAGCAAGCAAACAAACAAACAAACAACCAACCGGTAAACAAGCCACCTAAAATAGGTTTCCTTTTGGTTTGGCTGTTTGGCTCTTAAATAAGACACGGGTGCCGAGCCTTTGCAGCGGAAAGTCTTCCTTTCAATATTGGCAACCCAGGGCTGGTAAACACCATGTTTTAATTAAACAAAAACAGAGCCCTGGAAAACACCAGCGAAGAAGCATGCTGGGAGGAAGAAAGGGAGCCGGGACCCAATCAGATCTGGCGTGAAAGCATATCATCCATTTGTCTGGTGACATCCCTTTCGAGCCAGCCCAACGATGTCGCCAACCAAAACTCTTGTGAGCGCGCGATGATTTGCCCAAATGTGTGTTTTCGGGTTCGAAGCCAAACAACATATTTTCCAGTCACGTCCATTTATTCTTGAATCCAACTGGGAAGAAATTAATATTCCCCCAATCGCAAAAATGCAAGGCCCGAATCGGGCATGGTTTGACAGCATAGCTGGGTGTGTCTTTTTGAGTTTTGGAAGGGAAATTAGAGGAAGACCACTGATTGTTGGGGTATCCACAATCAAATACGGTCAAATCCAACTTTGAGGCTGCAAAAAAAAAGAGACCAATCTACACATATTATGGTTCCCATATTCCGTTCGCACAAGCCAACCACCTGTTTTGGGGATTCGCTCATTTGAGCAGCCCGAAACCTATTGACTTTGGCTCTACCCAAATGGTTGAGGTTTCTATAGGCTCCACCGTGTGAAACCAGGTAGAACTGCTCAATTGCCGACCGGGTGTTTGGGCGCTGCCTATGTGGAAATCCCATCTCGGGCCGCCATTTTCCCCCCGCACTGGAGCATTGCGCCTGAGCGCCGTTTCGGATTCGACGGGCGGAGGGTCCCCGAAATCTGATTTGACCCAGGGACCCAATCTACACTTCCAAAGACAGCCCAGGATCAGGGTTTAAGCAGGAGCTAAGTGGGACCTGTAAAACCTTCAGCTGACTCCTGGAGTTTCTGAGTGTACTGACTACGGAAAAGAGACAACTCCTGGTCCTCGTACTAAGGATCGCGTTGTTGAATCCTATGTTTTGTAAGGACGGGTCAACGTGAAGCCAAACTTCCAAACAAGGCCCCGCTTGCTGTCCACGTAAAATGGACATGGACCCATGCTGGCCATGCTTGAATAATATTATCTCATCTCAGCACACCATGCCAAATTGCAAGGGCGCAACCCGGAAACACTTTTTGCATCATGTGAGAGGTTGGTACATCTGAAAGTGAAGGATCGACAAACCCACATGGCCTCACGTGCCCAAACTTGACCTCGTTATATTGCTTGCTTCTGTCCACTTGACGAAACAAAAGCGTGAAAACCTTGACGCAACAAGACTCTACGCGAGGAAGTTGCCAGGGCGATAAGATGATATACGACTTGACTCGGTTGCTTTCTGCTCCCCTGCTAAAAGTTTAACTTTTAGTGGTTTAATGGAAAACCCATTAGTTGGCAAAAAGTTACAACCCTAACATCCAAGCAAATGCACCAACGTTGATTAATTGATGGAAACCGGCTGAATCTGTTTTCTGCCAAACTGACACCAACGGCCAAGGCACCAATCTTGATAGTTCCGTCATCATCAACTGCCGAAGGAAACACACCTTCAGCCCTCCAACAACCCGGTTAAATGACCTTCAAGCCCAGACCTGCAGTCATGCAGGAAAGGGCTCCCGTTCAGCTCGATTCTCACTGGCAATTCGGAACCCCCTTGAGAGTTCCAGAAAAACAAAAGACGGTTTTCCCCCTCCCGCCAGCGCTTTGGTCGCAAAAAAAAACGCGAACATCGAGGCCGCCTCAGTGCCGCCCGTTCGTGTGACCGTTGCTCGCGTCCGGCGCCGGCTCGGGCACCGCCGGCTCGGGCGGCTCGGGCGCCGGCTGCGCGGGCTGCGCGCGCTGCGCGCGCTCCGCGGGCGCGGAGTTGTGCAGGAGGGACTGGCCGACGCTTTTGCGGAAGAACCGCGGCCCAAGTCCGCAATGCAACCCTTGGATTTAGTTTTACGTTCTCTTTTTTTTGGGGGGGAGGGTCCCGTCGCCTTTCAGGATTCATCGCTGAGCTGCCGAACACCCCACCACAGAACGCAAGCCTTAGTAACAGTTCTGGAGAGGTGTCCCGTCCCTTTTGGGATTCGCTGAAGGGGAACACCCCGCAAAACGGGCTTATGGATCCGGGATCAACATCAAAGTATACGGGATCCACTTGCAGCGACCTAGCCGACTGGGTGATAACCCCTCACATGGGCCGAACACCCAGGCCGCGGGGATCTTACGAGCGGCAAGGGACCCATGTTTGAGCCCTCCTTGCGCTTCCTTAATAAGCGTCAAACATAGAGGGGCACTCCAAAAAAATAACTCTTCCAGACATCGTAGGCCTTGCAACAAAAACAACCTATGAAACCACCCTGTGAAATGAGATGGAACCCCTGCCATTTATCTCCCACACCACAGGCCTGCAATGGTGCTTCGATGAAGAGGAACACCACTGCGGACAGTCCGGCGGAGACCAGAAAGATCATCACCTGGGGCTGTCCTTTTTGAGGGTACCCGGTCTGGTTGGCTCTACAGGGACACCAAGAGGAAATCATTCTCGTTGTTGTTGTTTGTTGTTCCCGAAAGCATGGCGAAGGGTTTTTCCGCTGGGTTCACTTGAGTTGTTCTCATGAGAGTCATTACAAGGTGTCATTGCAAGGAATTATCATCATGAAAGTCAACGCAAGGAGTCATTGCAAAGGTCATTGCAAGGAGTCATTGCAAAGGAGTTATTGCAAGGAGTCATTGAGATCGTTGCAAGGAGTCATTGCAAGGAATTGATTGCATTGCAAGGAGTCATTGCAAGGAGTCATTTCATTGCAAGGAGTCATTGCAAGGAGTTCGGAGTCAGAAGTCCATGCTGCAAGGAGTCATTGCAAGGAGTCATTGCAAGGTCATTCAGAGTCATTGCAAGGTCATTGCAAGGAGTCATTGCAAGGAGTCAAGGAGTCATTGCAAGGAGTCATTGCATTGGAGTCATTGTCATTGCAAGTCATTGCAACTGGAGTCAGTCCATTGCAATTGGAGTCATTGCAAGGAGTCATTGCAAGGAGCCGTTGCAAGGAGTCAAGTGCAAGTTGCAAGTGCAAGGAGCCAAGTGCAAGTTGCAAGTGCAAGGAGTCAAGTGCAAGTTGTTGCATGGAGTCAAGTGCAAGTGCAAGTGCAAGGAGTTAAGTGCAAGTTGCAAGTGCAAGGAGCAAGTGCAATTGACTTGCGAGGAGTTACAATCTCTTCTTAGGGCGGCGGGGTAGTGCCGACGACACTACACGAAAATCGACCCTCTGCGGGATCGGGCGTGGTCAAGGTGCAAAAGCCCGAGGTTTTTTGCGATTTCTAAAGTTCCCGCGCGACCCTCTGCGGGGGTATTTTTTTTGCGATTTCTAAAGTTCCCGCGCGACCCTCTGCGGGGATCGGCGTGGTCGAGGTGCAAAAACTCGAGGTTTTTTTGCGATTTCTAAAGTTCCCGCGCGACCCTCTGCGGGATCGGCGTGGTCGAGGTGCAAAAACCCATGTTGTTTTTTGCGATTTCTGCGGTGCCCGCACGACCCTCTGCGGGGATCGGCGTGGTCGAGGTGCAAAAACTCGAGGTTTTTTGCGATTTCTGCGGTGCTCGCGCAACCCTCTGCGGGAATCGGCGTGGTCGAGGTGCAAAAACTCAAGGTGTTTTGCGAGTGGTCCTCGGGGTTGTCTCGTGGTTCGCGCGCCTGCTCCCGGAACCGGCGGGTCGCGGGATCGATTCCTCCCTGGTCCGCGGGCGGGCGTCGCAAGATGCAACTTGCATTTTAAAGCAACTTGCGCAGAGCAACTTGCGCAGAGCAAGTTGCACAGAGCAACTTGCGCAGACCAACTTGCACCGACCAGTTTGCGCAAAGCGCCTTGCCTAGAGCAACTTGCGCAGAGCAACTTACGCAGAGCAACTTGCACAGAGCAACTTGCACAGAGCAGCTTGCACAGAGCAACTTGCAGGGAGCGCAATTTGCACAGAGCAACTTGCAGGGAGCCACTTGCAGGGACCAACTTGCCGGAGCAACTTGCGCGGAGCAACTTGCGCAGAGCAACTTGCACAGTGCAACTTGCGTAGAGCAACTTGCGCAGACCAACTTGCACCGACCAGTTTGCGCAGAGCACCTTGCCTGGTGCTGTCCCGCGCTTGCTTCACAAATGCTTCGTGGAGGGAAAAAGAACGCATCCTGCAGCGTTGGGCCGACCTCGCTTGCGATGTTATGCTTTCGGGCCAACCGTGGTCTAGTGGAAGGTCCCCTGAACAAAAACACAGTCTGGTGTTCAACGGGAAACCCCCCCAAAAGCTGGAAGTGTGCGGGTAAAAACGGGGCAACTGCGGCGTACCTTCGCAATTTTGCCCTTGGTACACTTTTGAATCTACAGGGGTTGCCAAAAGACCTTGGCGCAGGGTAGAGGCTTGGTTTCTTGCTGAAGGAGACAAAGGGAACCCGGCCAATTTTGTACCCTTGAAAGCTGGTATCTGACCCTGAGCTGGGTTGACTTTAAACACCCCCCCCCCCAATGCAGTGGGGATGCCAGCTGGTTCAGGGCACAAGCTGCACCCCAAGCTAATGGAGACAAAGGTTATGGAAGCTAGGCAGCATGGAGTTCTGTTCCGGAGGGCGGTAAGAGGGAGGTGTTGGATCTAATATGTTGCCTTAAAGTAGACTTGATGGGGCTCCCATGAATACTTCCCCCAGAACACCTCTCAATCCCTAGTGGGATTCTCTGAAAAGGCTCACGCACGTTCCATTGTTGTAAAAAGGGGGGAGGGGGGGTGCAAGGTTGAAGGTAATGTTGCACCTGGTTTAATATCGGTAGTCTGAATTATGTCAAGTTTCCCCGGCTTCAACACGACCCCCCCACTGCTTCGGTACCATGATTTATGTCAAGTTCGAACCCCAAAAAATCCCGTTGAAAAAATATGACTCAAAATTCACGAAAGGGGCAACTGATTTCTCCTCTCAGCTTCCTGGCTCAGTCCCAGTAGTGAAACTCTGCAAATCTTTGGTTGCTCAAATTCCTCACAATTCCTGATTCGATCCTAAGCCCCAACCATCAAAATTATTTACTTAAATTCCATCCAAAAACAAGCCCCAAACAGTCCTGCAAAGGGGGTTGCCCACAAGGGGGGTTGGTCCTCTTTAAGGGGCACTGTTTGGGTACCATGTTTAATGTCCAGCCTTAGGGTGGCAACCCAAAAGGAAGTGCTGGCAATACTAAATCAAGCAGTGGCAGCCCAAAAGGAAGTGCTGGCAATACTAAACTAAGTAGTGGCAACCCAACAGGAAGTGCTGGCAATACTAAACCAAGTAGTGGCAATCCAAAAGGAAGTGCTGGCAATACTAAACTAAGTAGTGGCAATACCAAAGCAATACTCAAGTCACCCAAGCCCCCCGCCAAATCCGTATTTAGGATCCCCAGGACTGTTTTGACTGTTCCAGGGGGGGGGGGCCACAGTAAACAAGGTCCAACATTATGTTGAATTTACACTGGACGGGCTGTTTTCAGCTGAACTTGGGAGCCACTATTAAAGGCGTCAGAACCTGTAAAAACAATGTCCAAACCTATACTGTGTTTTGCCAGACTTATTGTCAGGTGCGAATTGCTCGAAAGGCCTGTGGGAGAGGTGCCTCTTTCTGGGCGAGTTGTTGCAGCTACCATGAATGTCGATTGGCGTGAATTCGGCTAAGCTGGGATATCAATACACACCCTTGCAAATCCCAATAAGAGCCTCGCAAACTGGGGATACTGTGGATGGTTGCGAAATCCGGCACCACGAAATGAAACCATGGGAAAACCAGAACGTTTGTTGGTATTTACTTGGGAATCTTCATTCCAGGGTTTCTCAGGTGGTGCGAAATGGAGTTCGTTCATCCACAGTAGTAGTCACTCACTAAACAAGGATCCTTACATTATACACCTGAACATTGCCTTGTCAATGGTGGGTTTATTTTGGTTTAAATGGGCAAAATGTATCCTTTAAGGAGCCCTGCCAAATAAAAGGGTTCATCCAAGTGAGATCCGAGGCGGGCACCACGAGGGAGAGGAACAAGCTGGGGCTCGCCGGCAGAATGATGTCGTCGCTGCTGATCCCATCAGTGGTAGCCTCAAAGCCCCGAGCCCAGCGGTCGGGTGCGAAAGTCTTGGATGATTAGCCCGCTCAGTGGGCAATGTCTACAGATCACCAGTCCCCTAACCAGGATTTACTCCACTCCACTCGTGACAGCTGACAGGGGCCGGGGATTAAGAACTGAGAAGAACCCTGTCCACTTCCTTGATTGCAAGACGTGTGCAATACCCCAATGCTTACTTTGAGCCCTTGCCCCCTTCATGACAGAGAGCAGGTGACCGAATGAGGGAGTTGTCAAACAAACCGTTCCAGCTCCACAAGCAACACCATGCACCTGCTGGTCGTCCAAGATCCAGCGTACATATATATATATATATATGATTATGTATATATATATATATACACAAAAAATCCCAATGTTTCATGCGTGGCTCCTGTTTGTGCGGGGAGTGAATCCATGTTTTGAAGCACCTCTGGACAGTAACGTCATTCTGACTGATCACAAGTCAACATCTCAGCCGACTTAAAATAATAAATAAAATCTTGATCAGATTTAAACGCGAATCTTCAACCAGCCGGAGCACATCAAGTTCAACAATACCAGTTGCATGAAGGTCCCTTCGAAGTAACAACTCCGCCCCCTCCTTTTCCAGGAGGTCCCAAGAATTTGCCAAGTTGGATATCATCTGGCTGTGGCTCAAAATAATGTACCAAACTGATGCCTCTTAAATGGAACCAACAATCAAAACCCCGCGTAACCCTCGGTCTTTCGCTTTGAACCACACCCATCTGGCTGTGGGTCAAAACCAATGATACCATTTTGGGGTAGGTGCACCACCCATTTTAGTCTATTTTAGTGGAAATTGGGATGTTCACTTGGGGGTACGATTTGGATTTGGACCCAGGCCATCTCTGTGCAGAACGCGGCGCAGAGAAGCCACGGTGCAGCTGCAGGACCTCGATTTCCGAGCGGAACCCATCGCGCCGGTTGGGAAGGGAAGCCGTCAGCTTTCCATGGGCAACGCAAAGAATATCACCCCGAAAGCACTTGTGTTCTATGCCGGCTTCAGTCTTTTGGGAAAACATCCATCTTTGTTCACTTGCGTTCTAAGCCCAATGAGGGGCTTCAGTCCACTTTTGGGAAATGGAATCCTGGTGGTCCTTGTTACATGCCCGACCTTCGCAGCTCAACGGCCGAAGGGGCTGGGGCCGGGCGGATCGGAGCGACAGGAGCCAGGAAAACCCCCAAAGACCCCCCCCTCGCAATGGAAGCTTCAAAACGCGCCACGAGGGCACAAGAAGGCCTTGTTCAGTGGTGGGGAACCTAGGTGCTAATCCACCTGCAGTTGGGTTGCCCTGGCAGGGACTTATGTAGTTGGTTTGGACCTAGCTGGAGTCTCCATGAGCCTTGCACAATGGAGCATTGCCCAAAAGAAAGGGGCCATGACCCCATGTTTAAAGGATGAAGACTCCAGGTAGGCATATATCTCACTTACAAACTTGTCCCCCAACACCCTTAAGTGACCGTTTGGACTGACCAGTGAAAACCCCGAACAGCAACCACAACTTCAACGGAACTCACCAGACCAACTGTCAAATTCGGAGCCTCGAATTCAAAACAAAAAAAAACGCGAGCCCATCGCAATCGAGGCGCAAAGAGATGCGACAGGTTCATGCCCGCGGCCAGTCGGCCCAGCGCAGACACGGGCGACCAAGCCTCACCTTTGGTCGTACCTGAAAAAAGCTTCCCCCAAGGTCGGGCACCATTGAAATTGTTGCTTTTGTGGCGGACCCCCCCAAAAAAAGAAAGAAAGAAGAAAAACAAAGAGAGAAAGAGGCCTTCGGGAATTCGTTTTAAGCCACCCCAACAAAAGGGGTCGACCTCAAAGAAAGACAATTCTCAGAGTCGTTGAGGTAGTGCCCGTTGCTCAAGGGACTTAGAAGAAACAAATTGCCCTCCCGGCAAACATGGCTTGGTGCCAAGGGTCGAAGCAAAAAGGACTTGGAGGTTCTCACCCATGATCACGTCGCTTCAAGGTTCCCAAGCCCAAGACGAAAGGGCCCAGTGCTTGGCGAGGCCCATAGGGTGTTAAGACCAGTCAGATCCGTGGCTTGCCTGGAACTGGGAAAGGTGACTTGGAAATCAGCAATCCTTCCAACAAAAGACAGGACCTTTTCGAAAAGGGCGGTGGTCTTAGAGGGGTCTGTGCACTTTCCTTGGCCTTTTTGAAGTGAAACATGGGAAACCATGAGGTGAAAACACAAGGTCGATTCGCTTTGGGCGAGTGAGGTTTTTCGTCAGGCAAACCAGTCCGGGTTTCGCTTCTGTGTTTTTGAGAATTGAACCGGGGCCTAAATTGCTCAATACCCATCCCAGTTTGCCTTCCTTGTGTGAACAAATAATGAACAAGGAACACACAGGCGAAGAAGAAAGAAACCACGGATTCAGCAACAATGACCTCAAACGAAGAACAATCAAGCAAACAAACCAACAAAGACCAACACAAACCAAAACAAACCAAACCAAACCAAGCCAAATCCAACCCAAATCTAACACCAAACCAACACTGCCCCACCATCCCCGCCCCCATCCCACCCCCCCACCCCCCAGGTTTCGGTCCATGTTTCCACTTACCAGGGTTCCATTTCCCCCCTAGACCCACCCCTCCTTAGACCCTCCCCAACCCCAACACACACCCCAAAACCAACAACCCCCCCACCCCACCCCTTACCCCCCCCCCCCCCCACCTGTCTCCAGCAGCTTCAGCGCCAGCAGCGCAGTGCCCAGCTCCGGCAGCGCCAGCAGCTCCGCCGGGGCCACGCCGAGCCGCGGCAGCGCGTTCCGGAGGAACTCGAAGCGCCGCGCGCGCGCGCGCCGACGCGGGAGCGAGCGGAGCGAGCGGAGCGCGAGGCGGAGAGCGAGGCGGATGGAGTCATCAAAACTTGGTACTAAAATTGTTTTTACCCAACAATCATGCTTCAATAATTAAGAAGGCGGCCGCAGCTATTTATGGTTGGGATTGTCCCTTACTCACCTTCATCTACCCACGCTTTCATTGTTGCTCACTTGCTGGAGCGGTAAGTATAGGGAATGTGGGAATGACCCGTCTACAAAGCATCCAACTGGTGGTTTCCTTGAGGGAATTGCAAACCGGTTCACTCCATTTCTCATTCCCCACCGATTTCACAGCAGCAAGAGAAGGTGCAGAGGGATCTGCTGGCGATCGCTGCGACATCGGTAGGGAACGTGGGAAGGAATGAACGGCCAGTGCCCGAATGAAGGAAACCACAAGTTGGATTGTTTATCTCGGGGTTCTTCCGCTTCTCATTCCCCTGTCACACCAGCAAGTCCTTGTGGTTCCTTGCTTTGGAGTGTTCAAGTGAAACCCAAAGGAAACCCAGCTGTTTGGAGGGTACCCCGATTGTGAGATACACCTCTCTTGACGCATACTTGGGAGTTGAACCAACATCAGGTAGGTTATGACCGTATCATATAACTGGGGTAAGAAGGGGGTAGTCTTATAACCATGGCTTCAATCCTACTTGCTGGTACATCCAAGTGCGTGCTGCCCGAAATTCCCGCGTGACTCTTGCCGCTTTCGGTGGCTTGGAGGTTCAGCCCACAAGCAGGTAACAGCCATGGCTTGCCGCACTCTCCAGCTCTAAAAGGGTGAACATCCACATGGTTCCCAAGACAGAAATCGTCAACGTCAGACAGGGTTCTCGATACTTCTCCTCCCGATACATAGCCCTGACATAGCAATTTTTCAAACAATTGGAGGCTGCGTGAATGCTACGTATGAAAGCAACATAAGGCGACACAAGGCCAAGTAAGCCCCCTTCAGTCGGTCTCAGCACGAAGAAGAAAGGTGCAACCCCTTCAAAAGACATGGACCCGTTGTTTTTGTCTTGGAGGGGTGGTTGTAGGGCGATCGTGCTGCACGACGTTTGATTCACACCAAACGACTTTAAGACACCCCCTAGGTTTGGACACACCCCGGCCGGGTCCTTTCTCCACTGTGCAAGCACGCATATACAAAGAGCTAAACACCGATCACGCGACAATCATGCCAATGTTCACAACAGCATTTCAGTCGCAACACCACATCAAACTTTCCGCGGCCTTCTGCGGCAACACACTTTGCAACATGCTCCGCGAGCTTCCACACCCTGAACCATTCCTTCAGTATATAGTCCCACTGCGGCACCCCAAGCCTAGCTGGCTTCACAAGGGTCTTGGATCGCTGTTCTCAATTGGACGTATGGCCTCTGGTGTCGAAAGGACCATGGAACCATGGGCCCATGTCTCCCATGTCGGGATATGGGAACTCCTGGCAACCGGGACCCAGTTCAACCAATAGCTCCCCACCCTGATCGGCTTCATGGGCTCCAAATAACCTGCCGGGGAGAAATTCGCCCTGCAGCCTCCATCGAAACATTAAAGCTGTTGCTTGAAGAAGTGCCATGATCAGCTCAATTCCTTCGCTTGGATGGGCTAATCGATGTCTAGCAGTTCATACGGACAGGATATCACGTAAAAAACCCAGCATATCCTATTTTGTTTGTAATCTTAGACACTCCAACAACAATAATCATAACTAGTTCTCATGCTTTTTGGAGAGTAGTTGTTGGGAATTCCAGATGAAAAGGACAGGCTTAATAAACAGAATGACGTAAGAATCCACAGAATTATTTCTTCTTGGTTCTCCTCAATATGTCTCCTCGTGACAATCTGTTGTAAAATAACATGTACGATTTCACAAAAACCGCTCGAGTTGTCAGCAACCATGCACCCGTCGGAACCAATTCCCTGTACCATGTGTTGGATTTTCGCCCGTTTGCGCTTGCTTGCACTTTGTTGCACCGATTTGCACTCGCTTTGCACCTTTTTTTTGGCGCTCGTTTCGTCGATGACTCTTCCCAAACTCGCCGAACTGTGAAAGACCATGAAACTACCGAGCTTGATCTCCGCTAGCCCAAAAAAACTGCTCGAAAGCAATTGTGGCGAAACAACATGCTACGGAGGCCTCCAGGGCCTTCCCATTTTCCCATTGTCGCCTCCAGCTGCTCGAAGAACAGGTTCAGCATTACGGTGGCACCGAAGAGAGAGATGGTCAGCAGCCAAAGCAGCACCCGCAGCCTGACGCGAAATGCGCTTCGTGTCAGGGTTTTCAAGAGGGGCCGTGGTGTCATTGCTACCTTCCTGGATGGATTGGCACTAACATAGTCACAGGAACTTGGGAAGTACGATTATCAACCTTGGCCAACAACAGATTTTAAAGCTTCTGTCCAAACGGATTGCCATGCCCACATGCAGATGTTCACACCCTTTGACACCTTGGTCATTGTTCAAACCCAAACCTACTTGTTAACCATGTTCAATACATCTTAAAGGGCAAATATACCATGACCGAGAAACCTACCTCAGCTTTTGCCCAACATCTTGATTGACATATTGATTGGTTCTTCAAATTCCGTGAGCCTCATGCAAAACTATGCCTCATCAGGAACCAATTACTCACTTGCAACGTTTGGGACCGTGAACCAAAAGGTGATCACCTGAACGGGACCTTGGCAAATTGCATGGACGAAACATGCGGAAGCCTTGTTGACGCAACTGTTGCCCAGCTGATGTCAACAAGGCTCGCTCGCTTCTTGCTTTCTTTGGACCTCCGAAAGGGGTCCCTTTCTCTGAAAACAGCAAAAGGCAACTGTTGGCCAAGAAATCCAGTGACCGCCCCCCCCTGCCCACAAGAAACCGGCCGCCCTGCGGCCCGGCCCGACTCGGCGCAGAGCGCAGCGACTTTTTCAAGCCATGGACATTCTCCAGATGCTCGGCAATCTTTGTGCCGGCGCATCCCTCCATTGGGGTGCTGCTCAACAATCGGTGGTTTCTCAGCATCATGTGGCTTTAAAACTCCAAAGGGGTGCTTCAGTCAATCATCTCCCCAGGGATTGGTGCAATCCTAAGAGGGAAGAACAAACCCTCACCCTAAGCAAATGAGGGCTTCTCAATTGTTGGCCCTGCCATTTTCGGAAATGGACCGATTCCCATGTTGAGAAACACCCCGTAAACGAAATCACTCGTCCCTCTCTTGCGCCGTCTTTGGGCCATGAGGGCTTCCCCAGACTCACTCCTTTCCATCTAGCCACTCAGCCCTTTCCGTGGACAGCAGCAGGATGTTGCCTGAGCGATTGAGAGAGCCCTTGCAACAGTGAAGCAGCTGTTGCTGGTTAGGTTTCCGGTGTTTGGGGTTTTGGGGTCTTGGGATTCAAGTTTTGGAAGGAAACCAGTTCCTTCCAGCGGTATAGACTACGGCCAAACCCCCTGAGCGCGTCATATGTTGGGCAGAGACGCCTTGAGGTCCAGCCATTCAACCCAACCCGCGCGTTTATTGCGTGGGGACCAATGGCCGGGTGTTGAATGCAGTTCAGCGGATTCCTTTTCGGAGGAAAAAAAACTAAGACCGAGCAGACAGTTCGAGTGGCTCAGAGGAAGGGCCTGGGCGCTGGCCTTTAGATCCCCAAACTGATCCCACGATCGCCAAATCTGCTCAGATCCCAGGCGTGCTTTGGTGCCCGTATGGGTGTTGGTAACCCTTCGCTGTTGTCCTGGTCTTTAACGGGTTGTGTGGGTGGCCCATAGAGGTAAATGGATCCACTGGGCTGGTTGAAAGGGAAATGAAGAAGCTTGACCACCAGGGAAAACATAACATGTGCAAAGGGCCCATAAAGTAAAGCTGTTGGCCTTTGGGGAAAATTGACAACATATTCGCGATTGGAAGCCCACACTATCCAGCGTTCCAACCAACAACAAACTTGGTTCTGGCGACCATGTTCACTGATGTTCGTTAAACCCTAAATCCAAAATCCATGTTAAAAGAGACCCCGGTCTTGGGGGTGATTACATTGTCAAGAAACCAACAAAAAGAAAGACTTCATTCCAAGCCCTTCCAATGGCTGCCCAGTGGTCTGTTAGTCGCTTCCTGATGGCTGGTTTGGGGCTGTTTGCCTAAGACATGCCTTGTTCAACCTCAGGTTTTGCCGCCAAGTTCTGCACCAAGTTTCTCGCCCCGCGCCGCCACTTTGTCAAGATCTCCTCCGCCAAAAACTGCGGCGAGCCCTCGATGTTGGAGATGAAGACCACCCGCCGACCGCCTGGGAGCAAGCGATGCGAAAGGCCCGTGCAGTCATCAGGAAGCCAACCAACCCCCAAACCAACTTATTTGCGGAAGTTAAAGCCAACTATCTTGGGCAGGGGTGACCTACCACCACACCCAACCTGCCCTCAGGCTTGTTTGGAGCGACACTACCCCGCAAAAGACACCCCAGAAGCACGAGGGTTGCTCCCATGTCACCCGCTCGGAATGGTGGGCGGCTCGTCAATTGTTTCGTGCGCCCCCCCCAAAGAGGGTAAACACCACAAACAAAACGTGCGCTCAAAAAAAGACACACCCAAAGGCAGCCCATTTGCAAAAGGAAACCTAAGGAAACCGGTCACCACCAGGTGACCAGTTTCCTACCTCTGAGGTTGGCTATGTCTTTTCACGGCAAATTGGTTTTGCCCATGTTCTACCCATGGGGTGTAGCCATCCTTTACACGCTGGGAAGAAAACAACTCGAAGCCATAGAGAAGGGATCATCGGCTGCAAAGAAGCCACAATAGCAGGGAATCAGGACCTGGACCCGTTTCTCACCTCGAGGTTTTACATCGTGCGTTTGGCCTATCATATCTGGAAGGGCTGGGATTGCCTTAAATCCAGGGGTAACTTCCCCTTTCAAGAAACCCGCCCAAACCCCTGAAAAAACGGCTGGTTTATTCTGGAAAAGAACCATGGGTTGCCAGTGTGCTTTGGTTCTCAGCGTCCTGCTTCTGACTTGCGACCTAAAGACCTAACCTTGTCCAAGTGATCACTGGACGCAAGTAATTAGACAGTACATCTTCCTTACCACCCCGCACAAAGACCCCTTCCCCCGACCGGATTTGTGTGTTTCTCAAACTAGGGAAACCTCAAGAAACAAGTAAGTTCCCCTTCGTTCATTTGCAGTCCAACAAAGGGGTACCTTGTGCTTCCGGAAGCAAAACAAGGAAAAAGAGCCCCGCGCCATTCTCACTGGGCTCCGCTTGCCCGCTTCCTCGCTCGCCTGCCAGCGGCAAGTCCTTCAAATCCAAGTGCCGGAACTCCACGGCGCAGTGCGCCAGGCTGTCCCGGAGCTGTCGGTACCTGGCCTCGTTCTTCAGCCACCCCGCCTGGCGGGGCTTGGGGACTCGGGGACTCGGGGACTCGGGGGCTCGCGGACTCGGGGACTCGGGGACTGGGGTTGGTGGGTGAGATGCACCCAGGGAACACGCCGAAAAAAAGAACAAAAAACAACAACAAAACAAAAACCAGTGTTTTGAAGTGGACTTGCGCACCAGGGGTTGGCATTGCAGAGTCTTAGGGCAACTTTAGAAGTGGACCGAGCATCCAAGCAGTAGGGGGCAATGGGCATTGCGCATGGGTCCAGAAGACACACCAAGTCAACTGCGGAATCAGGAAGTCATGTGGATTGCTACGAAATATGATTGGCAAGTAAGCCAGCCAAAAATAAACATGGTATATCAAAGGGTGATGGTAAATCATAGGGTGTTCTCTACTTGCTTCATGTTTAGGACATCAGCTGCACCCCGCAGGCAAAGCTGAATTGTCCATCCCCAGAAAAGCAAGCCACGCGATTGAAGTGAGGAATCAATGGCGATTAGGGACGGCAGGCTCACAAACACATTCCCTTCCATGGTTGTGCAAAGCCGTGCCTCAAGCAAAACTGGCCATCTGTGGCTGTCGTCCGTTGAACGGGCGATTGACGATTGGTTGCAATGTTGAGCCACATCCACATCCGCAAAATGTAACATGCAACCAACATCTACCTCATCCACTTTCTGAATCTAGCCTTCCTCCCTGCAACATCCTACATGGCACCTGACAGGGGGGTCCCTGCAAGAGAAAATTGAACTGGGTATGTGCCATGGTGGGCCCCCCGGCCCATTCTCTGATAGGTGGTCCATGACCCAGGATTCTGGACCCCTTCCCTGCTACCAAAGTAGAACTCCCTCCCCAGCCCAGTGCTTCCAGCGCGCAGGCAACCAAGCAGAACCATGCATGGTACAACCTAAGATGCCCGTACCACTTGTGTGGCGAAACGCGTGAAACTGGGCATGATAGCTATATTCGGGGATTCAAGTCAGACAGACTGGCAACCTAAAGACCAATCGCGCGTTAAGGGTCAGCGGATTTCTCCAATCCCTAACCCTTCAAGGGTCATGAGCCCTTTGTGCATGGCTCCCCCCAAAAAAAGATGCCCCAAACTGGGAGCTGATACAGGGCCCTGAGCAAGTGGTTGGAGAGGGTTGTCTCATGCCCAGTGCAAGGGGAAACCACCGGATGGACATGGACCTTGTGAACGATGGTAACCACGTCCGACGGAGGGATTCTTGGATGTTCAGGCCCTGCGGACCTCGCCTCGTTGATGTGCAGGGCCTCGTTCTTTCCGCCCCCGAGGCGCCTAGCAGAGTGGGGCGGAAGACACGAGGCCCTTGAGAATAGTACTCGCTTCCCCCAGATGGGATGCACATAATTGGGTGGTCCCCAGAAAGCCATGGCTTGCCATGGCATAACCACCACTTCAATTGGTCAACTTGTTGATGTTCAATCCAAGTTTGGAGCCAAAAGCCAAGCCGCTGCGGGTTTCGATCAGTGTGGGCTCAATCAGGCGGGGCCCCGGTACGCGAAAATTTGCTTTCTCCGCGTGTGCCTCCGGAAACCAAAGCGACCCCTTCCAAAGCGCTGCGCCAATCCGAGTCTGAAGCTTCCGCTTTTGAATATAAAGCACCCTTGGTTAGATGCGTGTCCCGCAAAATACCCAAAACATGACTGAGCCCTACTTCGGGGTTGGTTTAAAGTCAAAGGAAAATGGGCCTATTTGCGTACCGCTTCCTTCGAGCCAAAGCCCGGCTCCCCGGCCGCCCGGCCCCACTCCGCGGGTCGCTTCGTTCCCCGCCTCAGCGCCTTGCTCAGCCCGGGCCGCCGGGGCAGCGCCTGGCGTTGGCCGAAGCAGGGCCAGCAGACCGGCCACCCGGCCGGGCGCGCGAGGCTGCGGAAG